CAGCAGCTGCTCTGGCTGCGGGGCCGCGGGCGTCTGCGCCACGTGAACCTGGGTCTCTGCTCGCTGGTGTACGAGGCGCCCTACGACGCCCAGGCCAGCCTCTACCAGGCCCGCTGCCGCTACCTGCAGCCCCGTTGGGTTGAGTTCCCACACCGGATCCTGGACGTGGGCTTCGTGGGCCGCTGGTGGGTGCTGGGCGCTCGGATGCGCGACTGCGACATCAACGACGACGAGTTCCTCCACCTGCCGGCACATCTGCGCGTCGTCGGGCCCCATCAGCTGCACTCGGAGGCCAATGAGCGGCTCTTCGACGAGAAGTACCGGCCGGTCGTGCTCACTGACGACCAGGTGGACCAGGCGCTGTGGGAGGAGCAGGTCCTGCAGAAGGAGAAGAAGGACAGGTTGGCCCTGAGCCAGGCCGACTCGCTGGTGGGGAGGGTCCGCGATGAAACCCAGTGAGGCCTGGGTCCCACCCAGCCCCGAACCTTGGCAGACGGTTCGCCCGGGATTGTGCAATTGCTGTGAGTGAGCCCCAGGTGCAGTGACTGAAATAAATTATATGGAAAGTGTTCTCGCTGGGTTTTCGCAAAATTAGGAGGCCTTTCTCCTCCTCACACTGTTCTTAATGCTATAGCTTCTTCAGAGCCTTCGTGGTCTAGGAGTTGGGGAGAGCAGATGTGACAAAAGTATATCATGTTTATTGCTACCAGTTAGTAATGAGCATTGTACATAAATTGGCCTTTTTCATTGGGCCCCTCCGTCCCCTTGACTGAAGCATCATATGTCAGGTGACTCCCAAGATCTCCAGCCATTCAGATTTTCGTTCTAAAATTTGAGCTACAATGTTTATACTCCCATTTTAATGAGTAAATTTTAAAAACTTTAAACTTATTTTGAAATCATTATAGTTTCAGAGTAAACTGGAAAAAGAATACAGGACATCCTTTGTACCCTACCCCCAGCTTCCTCCAAATGGTAACATTTTTTAAGCATTGCCAAACTAGAGATTGACATTGGTATGAGTATTTGGATTTTACAAGGAAACTTTGTGTAAAATAGCCTGCTTTTATCATTTGTGTATTAATAGTGATGCTAAAGTGAGTTGGAAGAATAAAACACTCTCTGATCAGGAAATCTGTGTGGGAGCATAGATTCTGGTTACGTTACACTTCAGTAACCTTTAAAACACAGACTGGTATGGGAAGGAGTATGTTAGCTGGTACTTAGCTAGGTTATGGTAATCGCACTTTAAAAACTAAACTTACAGCAGGCCCGCCAGGCCTGGAGGCGGGCTGCACAGGCCAAGCCTCCCAGGGAGGTGGGGTCTAGTGAAAAATATTCTCTGAACTGAATCCTGAACTTGTCTTGTTGGTCAAAAGATTAAGGTACCAAGTTTGCTTTTCATTTGATAGTATTATCATTAACATTGTTAAACCCCTCCCCCCAAAACCTTAATGTTCCATAATAAAGTGATTAGAATCAGTAAAAAACAACAACAACCCAACAACAACAAAAAGAAACAACTAAACTAACAGGCATGATACTTTATTACCTAGGTGCCCTGTTGGTAGTTAATAAAACCAGGAGATGAAACAACCAGCTTTTTTGTGATTTTGTGTTCTTGTGCTTAGCTATTAAGTTTTGGTATTTAGACCTTTCATTTGTACTTTGGGTATCGTATATTGGACACATGGTAATTTTTAAATACCTTATTTTGGGGGCAGAGAAGCATCTCAGCATTTCCTCTTTTTTTTTCTTTTTTTATTGATTTCAGAGAGGAAAGGAGAGGGAGTGAGAGAGATAGAAACATCAATGATGAGAGAGAATCATTGATTGGCTGCCTGCTGCACGCCCAATAAAACCAGGAGATGAAACAACCAGCTTTTTTGTGATTTTGTGTTCTTGTGCTTAGCTATTAAGTTTTGGTATTTAGACCTTTCATTTGTACTTTGGGTATCGTATATTGGACACATGGTAATTTTTAAATACCTTATTTTGGGGGCAGAGAAGCATCTCAGCATTTCCTCTTTTTTTTTCTTTTTTTATTGATTTCAGAGAGGAAAGGAGAGGGAGTGAGAGAGATAGAAACATCAATGATGAGAGAGAATCATTGATTGGCTGCCTGCTGCACGCCCCCTACTGGGGATTGAGCCTGCAACCTGGCATGTGCCTTTGACCGGACTCAAAGCTGGGACCCTTCAGTCGCAGGCCGATGCTCTATCCGCCAAGCCAAACCAGCCAGGGCTCAACATTTCCATTTTCCAAAGGAAAAAAGTGAGGTTCAAAAAGTTGGTTATTTCTCCAAGACTGTAGCAGCCCAGGGAAGAGGCCTCTGGTCTTGCCCTGCCCAGAGCCATAAACAGCAAAGTGCATACTGTCTCCAATTCCATAAGGGCAGTAGGACCTGGGAAAGAAGTGGGCTTTAAGTCAGGGTTTAAATTTCACATTTATTAGCTTTATCACTACTTGGGCCATAGCCATAAGGCAAGAAAAGAAAAAGGCATCCAACTAACCGGTTTGGCTCAGTGGATGGTGCATCGGCCTGCGGACTGAAGGGTCCCAGGTTCTATTCCGGTCAAGGGCATGTACCTTGGTTGCGGGCACATCTCCAGTAGGAGGT